GTGCGCCGACGAACCCAAACGAAGTGATTGGATAGCACTTTGTAAGCAAACTTAGGAGCGCTCAATGTCAAGCTGCGGGTATTTGTTTATGCAGGGGCTTTCAAACACGAAGGAGTTTCTTCGTCGCACGAGCAAGCACGTCAATGGCAGTCTAATTGTACCTTGTAGCAGGATGGAGCTCAAGATGTCCATCCGGCCAAAAGCATGCAAAAAATATCTTGTTTGAAATAAATCAAGTCACTTTACGACAGGAAATAAGGCTTTCAGGCTAGGAGTGCTCGACAGCAACCAAAGTTCTGGGGTACCTGTAAGTCTGGCGGTGCAGCTGAGGCGCTGGCCCGCTAGGGATCAGCGGGCAGTCAGATATTTTACTCTTCCTTTTCAGGAAGACAGGACTCGGTTACGATTTAGCGAATGTACCTTGACATTCTAGAGTTATTTTAAGTGCTATATGCTGAGTGTAGCGTGTATATATCATGTGTGCACGGAAGTAGGTATACAAGGAACTGGTGAGTAGTGGTAGCTGAGAGCACTGTGCACCACAATACTCACTGCCCGATTCAGAAGAACTTCCCTTGTCTGCCTCTTTGGTAAGCGCCCCTTTCGAGTGGATGAGCAGCCTTGACTATGCCTGTAGTAGCCTGTCAACCACACCTTCTAGTTTTTTTTGCAGAGGCTAAGCACACTCTCAAGTAGCTCGCCATACGCCAGGGCGCATACGCTTTCTACAATTGAATTAATAACTAAGGCGATGCGCATCCACTGAACTGGAATGCATTTTTATGCTTAAAGATACTCACATCAGGTGGTGCTGGTGGAGCACAGAGCGTCATCGATGGCTTGTTGGCTGCTAGCACTTCTCGTTTTGCCCACAACAACTAACGTGAAGACTTTCTCCCTGAGCGTTCCTCCTCCTGGACAGCTGACAATTGCAATTTCTAGGAATAATGTTGCTGTCGATTATTTTGCGGGAAAGTCTGTGGGGTTTCTCAGGTACTGGGATGCTCGCTCCCCAATAAACGAGCACGAAGTGCAGATAATCTATTCACTCTTCCCTATAAGAGAAGGAACATTTTTATGCATCTGGAGAATTTTAGCGTGCACTGTTGGAGACTATCAGTTGGTGGCAACAACTGTCCCTCCGCCGAAAGTCGTTCTTGAACGTCACGTGCTCGAAAAACGGTGGGCTGCTGTGTTTCTCCGAAGGCACACTTCTCTGGGATGTTCTACAGGGAAACTTGGCTGTGCCGGCACCATTTGGTGCGTTTCGTGCGCACGTTCTAACACAGCCGTTGAAAGGGCCTATACCATCACGCAAATGGATGGGTGTTGCATGTCCGTCGAGACATGTCGGAACCAATCATCTGCGAAAAGAGAACGTGTCCCTAGCCAAAGGAAAACTACCATCGGCAGCGCACCAGATTTTTGCCAGGGCAGTTTTCCAGAAGTGCGCGTTTCCTTTCATTCTTTGTTATTTACAAAGCTCAAGTGAAGGATCACAACGGGCAGCCTCGTTGGTATCCTCAGCGACGACCCTGCAACGAGGCTGCCATGGTAGTTCACTGCTGACCTTGAGGGCTTCAGTACACTGCTCGGAGGCTGCTTACAAAGGATATGCATTTTTTCGGTTGGCCTGGCGAGCACTGTGTCTACAGGCCTACCGCGTCGGGTCTGTGTTGGACTGTCGATTTGAGTCGTTGTCTCGCGAGGAATCCTATAGGCAATCATGGCTCTAGGCAACGGAGGCGTAGTCTTACATTGAGACTTAACGATGTTTGTCAATATGCAGTCTCGCTCTGGTGTAGGTTTCGTCGCTGTGGTGTGGCTACTTTTGAGCTTCGCAAGCTCGAGATACCGTGCCTACTAACTTGGTGGATTTCTGTGGGTGCTGAATGAGCTCGTATAGTGTCCACTAGTGCGCTGCCAATGGCCTGCAAAGACGGGGTATGTTCAATTAGGCATTCTAGGGGCGGGAAAAAATGACAGTGCGTTTAGGCGTATCAGTAGCACTCTGGGCTTCGGCAGGTGATCACTGGAACTGCCTGAGATGGAAGCTATGTGGTGGTGTGGAAAGGAGTTCAACATACAAGTTCGCACATGGAACACTGCGGCAAGTTCTAAGGCCTCTAAAGACAATTGGAATTTTGCGGCGCAGTGTTAAAGTGCAACTCATTTAGCTCTTGTGCTCTTAGGAGCTCCCCTGCCCCGACCCGCCCTACGCGCAGGTGTACTCTCACAGTTCGCTGGGCATCGTCCTTGTGACGGTGGGATGCCCAACGCGTACCTACCTTCGTGCACAGAACGAAACACGTAGATTCCTGCCCGTAAACAGTTGTGACAGCTTCACCCGTGTTCTACCGAACATTCAAGTTGGTAGCCAGTAAAACCTCCGGCATCCGCCTGCTTCACAGCCCCTGCAGAGGCATCGCCCTTTAAGTTAATCTTTGCCCTGCTACGTAGATTTGTCCTACCAGGCCCTTCATCCACTACCAGGTCTACCAGGTCTTGACTTCTTATGGTGACTTGGACGGCTTTTACCATTTTTTTTACGACTGCCAATCAGTACACAATCAACTCGACGAGGAGGCTCATTTTTCACTAGTGTCGCTTCCAAACTGCTCAATACGCTATTTGGCGGAATTCCTAATGGATGACTAGAAGGGGCAATTTTTGAACCTGTCCTGGAACCTCTGAAACACTTCACGTACCTGAAGTAGTCGCAGACGCTTGCTTGTTGTCTAGCTGTGGCTAGTCCTAGAATCCGTCCAAGACGTACAGTCTTGCAGCCACTCCTTTCTAGTCTGAATGGGGGTATAAAGCATTCTCGTAAGGAAGTAATTGCTTTACGCTTCGGATACTGGAAGTGCATACAGTAGTCTAGCTCGTATTCAGTTCTTCTTTTCTCTTCCGAGAAAGGCCCTAGATGCTGCAAACGGTGAACGGGACCTCAAAATTTTCAAATAGTTTATCATTCTCTTCACCTAGTTAAGGCGGTAGACAACTCCCCTGCTTGGCAGCCGCCTTGCTAACAGGGTTACCGATTTGTGAGTACTCTTTTTAACCGTAGTGTTTGTGAGCGAATGCCAGTGCGACTGTTGGACCAAGAGAAACAGGGTATGTCATACGTGCAGAAGTGAATCAAAAAAGATGGAGCAGAGCAAGAAACAAGGAAATGCGGAGGGGAAATTTCATCCGTATGGCATTTGTTTTGTACATTTCCAAGAAAAAGATTGGAATCTACAAGGATACGAGCTATTTCCTGTTGTTTTGTCCACACAAAGCTGGATTCGATCAGAAGCTGGCCAATTATACATCTTTTCCGTCATATTTTAAGTGTCGCCATCCCGTCGTGGCGCAATGGCGCTCATATTCGCAGGATACAGACTCTGTTACCTGAACGCTGGTTCAAGTTAATTCAAAGTAGCATGTATTTCTCAGCAACAGCCTCCTCTATGTAGCATCTGCACTTTTTCGCAGTGGGCCTATTAAATCTCATCAGAAACCGCGATACGGGCTCTCTAGCTGGCTTCCACCAGCCGATCTCATTTCCTAAAACATGGAAAAATGTGGAATACATCAACATATAGGACTTTACGCGAAGGATTTGCTGCAACTACTTTTCTTTATTGCAAGACCTGTTTCCAGTTGCTCCTACTGCAGCACAGCAGCCATTTCCAGCGGCAGAGGAAAACCTTCGCCTTCCGATTAGAAGGTTGTTCTGAGGTCGCCCTCACCTTTTGTTGCAGGTCTTTCTATGTTTGTGCAATATTGGGATGCCACCGCACCTTCCATGGGCCTTTCACGTCTACCAACGCAATCACCTCCGTCTCCGACAACCGTTCCAAAATCGTAACCGCAATTCGCCTGCTATGGTGTTCGGTGCTTCGTAAGTTAGATGGGTTAGTTGGTACGCATGTTTCATATGACCTCATATTAAGGCAGACAAAAGCCCTGGGGACGAAACTTCGTGTATACCCCACCGCCTACTGTATTCGACCTCAACTTTACTGTCCCGAGAAAATATGTGTACGAATGAAAAACGACCCTGGCTTTGTCTTGCTTACACGCATCGCCTTCGACCTTAATCAAGGCGCGATGTCATTGAAACGCAAGTCTTCGTTTCTTTTTGCGCCCAAGTATTGGCCGGTCCCTACCTTCCCTGCGCCTTTATGTCCAGCGCGTCGCGGGCCCTGAACTGCACCCATGCACTGGGATTGGTGACGCCCCTTACCAGCTGATCCCTACGGAAGTGCGAGGTCAAGGAGCAACAATATACGGTGTTGCGGAAGGGTCTTCTGTAGAATTGAATCAAAAGCCTCCACTATAGCATAATCTCCCCTAAATGGAGCAAACAGCTGTTGTGCGGTTTGCGGGGCGGTTAGTCTTTGCCTCGATACATGATTTGTCGCTTTCGCTGTGTTGTCTTCGCACAAGAATTTCATCGTGAGGAACTGGCCCGCGTTCAATGATCGGAGTTGGGTTTTGCAAACTCAGTGCCCAGTACAAGGCCACTCGTCGGGCTAAAGTGAAAACCCTCTTGAGCCACGCTTGCACGCCACTTAAAGATAAGGGCTCCGGAGATGTCTCTCCCTGGCTAGCTCCCCAGAGAGAGTGTGGCTTGCCCGTTGTAGCTCCCGAAACTCTCTCATTAGCCCCGCGTAATCATCCAACCCACGCGCTTGCTTTATTATTCCCGCCATAGCACTCACATTCTCGTTGGAAGCCGCCTGTTGTACACACCCCGTAGGGTCACATGGAAGCCAAAGAAGCAAATTCTCAACAGCGTTTATTGCTCCTACAAATGGGTGGCAAGGCAAGGCGGCGAAACGGGCAACCTGACAGCTTGAGTACACACCTGTCCGAAAGTAGAAATAGGGAGAGAACCTGCAGTGGAATGTGGAGTGTTGTGGGCTCGTACATTTCCAGGAAGTCGAGAAGGTTCGCGCATCCAGAACTGTGAAGGATCACTCCTTCCTCCTTGATTCGGTGGACCTCCAACACCTGAGTGTTGGTGAGGGTAGGAATCAAGGTTGTTGGCTGTAGGGGTGGGCTTCTCCGAACTCCCAGTTGGTCCAAGTGTTGGACCAGTGTAGTTCAGGAAGGACGGGGTGTTTTCTCGTCCCGTCCCCTGCCCATCGGCAGAAGAGGGCAAATCTCGTTCAGCCCACCAGTGATTTGTTTCGTTGAGTCTATAAGCATGTACTCCTGTCTCCGGATTCCAAAGGAGCTCGTGGCATGCTTCTTCCACCCGTTCTACTGTAAGCCTACCCCGTAAGAAGAACCGCGAAACGCTGCCTCGTCTCGCCAGTCTCTTGCACAATAAGTTAAAAATGATATCTGTGGGGATACCACGGGTCAGTGAGGTACCATCTCCATGTTGTGAATGCATGCGGAGGAGATTTAGCACTTCCTTTCTGATGTAGTATCGTGAATAAAAGTGTTGGGCTACCTGGCTGCACAGTACTAAAAGCAGGAGTAACCCCAAGAGGGCAATCAAGTGCTCATGAGCCATTTGACCTATTTTACAATTGAGCGGTTTGATGGCATCCGGTCCCGTGTATGTGTAGAGGTAGGTAATTCCTTTAGCTCTGCCTTGTTCCCGCATTAGACGTTCGTGAAGTTCGGGAAAGTCCACGGGATTGGAAAGAGGTATGAACAGATATTTTCTCTCCACCTACAATACACGAGTTAGAGCCGGCATATCATTCGTATCAGCAACCAAGCACGGCATCAAAATGCGCTGCTACGCCAAAGAGCTTCAGACAAGTGACGGTAATAATGGGGGGCGCGACTGGGGGGCGCGGGTTTAGGCTAATGGATGGGGGCGGTGGGCGGTTCGATACTGCTCCACCTTTTCAGTCGAAAGTTGCGCAAGGGCATGAGCCGCGCATTCAATACCTGAATAGCCCGCCGCTGACCTGGATATCGATTTGGGCAGCAGCTTCTGGGGTTAAGAAGTTGTAAAATAGCCAGTAGTAAACCCCTTCGTCCGCAATAGCTTGTGCAATATCCCGGTGAAACACCATCTGCCACCGAGTTAATCCCGGGCCACCGCACATCTTCGTGATTGTGTTGCTCCACGGCTTTCCCCCTAGTTGCTCTGAGGGGCTAAACAGGGGATCCACAGGGTATCCGCAGTCGTACCGACCCTGCCTCTCCTTCAGGATTTCCACCAGTAATTTCAAGACATCAGCTGCCCTAGCCTTTTTCTCACTGTCTTCGACACAGGCATTTGGCGCTGCTTGCGGCCCCTTTTGTCTCTCGGGAGGCATATACCCAGGGCGGCATGCCATCGTTCCTCCTGCGCAATCCGCATTTTGGGGGCAGGTAACGCACTCTTGGCCGTCAGTAGCGTCCTCCCGCTCGTATCCACTGTCGCAGTAAATTGTATCATCGATGTTTTCCTCCATGCGTTCTTGCACGATAAAAGGAGCATCTTCGAAGGCTAAGTCGGTGCAGGGTACCCGAGAAAGAACAATTGTTGCCAGCACGGCAATGTGAAGAAGCAGCACCCATACAGTCGGTCTGTGCTTCACTTTGAAGTTTTGCTCCTGAATGAAGTGCCCGTTGGCCTCATCTGTGTCGTGCTGTCCAGACACCATAGCAGAAAGATGAAGCGCAGTCCTTCTTTGAGAAGAACCATTCATAAGCGCCTTCACAGGATATTGCTGTATGCAGCGGTTTCCAGCTGGCGATAGAGTGATCTTCCTTGCTCAATCCATCAAATTATTTATCGCCAGAAATACGTGTATGAAGTGCAGGACATATCCATAGTCATCCCTGCTTGTGCATCTCACCGAAATATGCTAGCTCACCGTTAAAACTGGCTTATTCGACTCTACAACTGTCGAATGAGTCTCCAAGCTTCCTTGGCCCGGGCTGTCCAACGCTGCAGCAAGTGTCAGGTCACGGCGTCCAAGCGGTGGGTAGCGGCATTGCCGTCACTGTATCTCTTCAACTGCTTCCAAAACATGGAATGAAATGCCACTCACCTCCCCCCCCTCCCGCTGTCTCTGCACTCGCATCCATCTCAGTGGGATTATGCGAGTAATTGAGCTACCTCGCATTCGCCTAAAGCACACGTAGCAAGACTCGTGGAAACAGCCAATTGCCTGTTCCAGAGCATTAGTTAAACTTTCCTGAATCCAAGGAGTTGCATAGGTGTTCGAAATTTTCTATTCTTCCATGGCACGTCCAGCTTCTGGATGACAAAAGGTATCGAGAAACGAGTAGGTGACGTGCCTCGTTTCCCCTTCTAAAATCAAAGCCCTTTTACCCTCTGCTCAGACTGGCTTTGCCTGTATTGGTAGCCGCAGCAAGAATGGATTTTGAGGAGGCGAGGTTGGGGTGAAGCGTTAAATATCTCTCTGTGCTTCGCGTTTACCGTCTTGAAAGTGGGAATCACATGAAAGGAAACGCTTAATATGGCTATTGCACTAAAAAAGTGTAGCCAACCGCCTAGCTGGAAAGCAGATAAGGGGTTGGCTCTGATGCTCTCCAGAGGGCCAGGCCTTATTGGTGGCAGCATGCATGCGCCGCGCCGCTAACCAGTTCCTATCTTCTTGCAGGCGAGCTTAATTTACCCAAGTTGCAGACTCGCCAGATTGTAAGATATACTTGCCTGAGTACACAGCCGGCTTCTGGCGTTTTATTTCGAGCCCTCGATTCTGCTGTCGGTTCAGAGTCTCGCCCCAGGGATTGCAAGCTAAGCGTCTTTTCAGCTGTAAGGAGAGTTCACCAGTATTTTCTCAGTTGAACTCAATACAGCTGTGTGTTCTATTTTACGGGAAAGCAGTGGTGACTAGGAGTCACTTCTGTGCCGTCTCTTAGAGACTAATGAGTCAATGGGGCTGGGAGGGGAACAACGGTCATGAAGCACACGCTGCTGAATTAGCTTAGGTGCACTAAGTTCATTTGAAAAACGGCGACGGCACTACCATCGCAATGCCTCTGGCGCACTTATAGTAGCTGCAAAAGACGCCCTGCACTTCCGCTTTAGCCTTGCATTGAACTCCTTTCGCTCTGCTCATTCGGATGAGCACAAGCATATAAAAGACAAAGGAAGGAAACAAACAAAACGAGAGGAATTGGCTACGCCCCATATCACTGTTGCTTTCGATAAACACTATGGAGGAGGCTATACTGAAATGAAGATACCATGGATTAAAATATCTCGAGGAGTAAGGAAACTAATGAACAGGATATTACAAGAAAGTCGGGTAAACAAAAAGATTGGCCACCCTACTTTCTCCTATTCTCCTAGTGGTGCAGCGGCAGATGAGGAGGAAACTAAAAGGCTCCTTAAAAAAAGACTGGCAGCCTCGTTTTCTTGAGTTTCCAAGCGGCATCATCCACGGCTTTATATGAACGCAGCAATGATCTCTGACTTTTCCCACTTCTTCCACAGTGCCTTCTGTATACTTAACATCACTGCTGCCTGGCACATCTCGGCAGTTTGTGTTGAGCCTTTGAAGCGTAAAATACTAGCGTTTCTGTACCTCAATAGCTTATTGTCAGCTGGCCGTGCGACTCTGTCCGTACTCTCCCTCGGCTCTAGGAATCAGTACCCAGGCGATAGCAGCAGCAGTTGCAGCCGTCGACGGTGGATAAGGAGGGTTATTTGGCCCCTGGACTGCACCGACGTGCTATGGTCTCTCGCTGCGCCAACTTCAAACGATAACCACCGTATCAGCTAGTTGTGCTTGTGGAGCATTTTTAAGGTTGTTGGAAACTGGTGCCCCCACCCATGCCTTGCATCTAATTTTTTTGATCAATCCATAGCAAAGAGTTTAGCTCGGGAAATTCCGGCTTTGCCATCCTAATTTTGATTTTCCAGCACTCGCCTGAATTGCCAGGCAACCGTGTTTCGCCTGACCTTAGGCTTATGTAGGTGCAGCTCGTCTCCGCAAATCGAAACAGCCAGGCTTTAGTATTATCAGCGGCACTACTTAGATACTTGGTGACGCAGAACACTACTTAGTACTTTCAGTAGATGTCTTCGAGCTGGTGTCAGTGGCTGGATCCAACCACGATTGGAACAGCAGAGCAACCCAGGCGTATCTCTACAAGTGGGGACAAGATCTGGGCAGATTGGGACTCCGTGCGCTGCCTGACTGGGGTTTGTGGTCCTTCATATGCAAATGGCTGGATGCAGTTGTGGCAAGAAAACTTAAGTGTGCGTAGGGGCTTCAACGTCTGTGCAGCAACCGTTAATCAGTTTGTTGTGTTGTTGTACACTCGGGCGATGCAGGGCTCGTAATAAAGAGCCGGCGTTGATGGAAACAGTCCAAGGTGAGAGTCAGCCAAGTCAAAGATGCACAACCTTTTGTTTATATGCATAAATGAGGCCCCAGCGCCATACCTGCGAAGTGCATGGGAAGGCTGCCTGCCCCGCCTTAATCCGCTTCGTATTGACACAAAGCCAAGCCACAGACGAAACTGTCTGTGCATGCAAAAAATTACCTCTTTCGCAGAACCCAGGTCCGAAACGTACAGCAATGTATCACGGCCTTATATGACTCACCTAGATATTTCTGTGTAAAGCTTTTGACTGCATCTTGGTTGTGAATGGTGCCTTGCACGACCATGCCTCTCCTTGGCATCGTAGGTTTCTAGGGTCATATCAACTATCTCTGTTAGCAAGATTGTGCCCTTTTCTTGGCTTATCGGAGCATGAATTGGATCAGCTTCGCTTGGAGGTCCTTGAAGAGTGCACGCTATCTGCATGAGTCTCTCCATCATAGGAGTGTGGCACTTCTGCCTCCCGTTGTCATCGCAGTCTTCTCAAGAGTCTGTTGTCTCATCGACTTCTTCCGGCGGCTCTGTTAACCGCTGGCCTATTTCTTTCTCTTGCTGGGACGTTGCTTCGCGCAGAGCCCTTGCTGCCTTCAACTCATTAGACGTTACACCACGGCCATTTATCCAATGCAGACGAGGGAGGACCCTGAGAACCTCAGCCCTGAAGTGTTCGTCGTCCACGTATTGATCTGGAGAAGACAGGGACAGCTCCCTCAGCTTTGGGAGAAGGACGAGAATGTGGAGCTGGTCAGGAGGGAGCGGCACTCCCTCTAGGTCTAAAGTTCTTATTTGCGGCAGTCTCTGTAGCTGACGCAGTTGCTGCATTGGGGTGTGCGCTAAGTAAAGCGATGTTATAGTGTCTGAAGGGGGAAGGGAATCCAGGTTTTCTAGTGGAGTTCCTCGAAGGCTCAAGTGGGTCAGCAAAGGCGGGTGTACAAATCCTTCTAGCGTGGTGATCGGATTCGCATCAAGCGCCAGACGAGTCAATCTCTGAAGAGGCAGTTGGGGGGCCCTAGCTATCTTGTTACTACTGAGATTCAGCAAGAACAGGTAGGGTAATGCCTCTGGAGAGGATAGGCATGAAACGTCTTCTATATTATTCCCTGATGCGTTTAGCGTCAGAAGGTAGGGCAGCCTAGAGAAAGCGGAAAGATCCCTAATTTTGTTATTGGATATATCTATGTACCGGAGGTGAACGTAGAGTTGCAGAGCGCTTGGCAGCGTAGTTACACCTTTCCCACAACATGTTAGTCGAGTGAATGCGTAGCCGCTCCCGTCGGCTGTGCGTGAGACATCCCCAAGAGCCTTGTGAAGAAGGTCGCCGCGAAGTGGGGTCCCGGCGGCTTCTGGTCCTGCGGCTGAGTCACCCCCTTCCTTAGGCTTTCTTCCTCTCGCCATGCCTGCTACTGGCAAGAAAGCAAGTCCCCATACGCACTAAGAAATTGGTAGAGGCGGCACAAAATATCCCTTCTCTCATGTAACTTACTTTCGCTGGTTGTCTCTTCCGTTCTCGGAGTGGGCAGAACCGGAGCTGCTTCCCCCCGTCACTACTATATGCACTGGCTAGTGTAGAAAAGTTGTTTTAAAACAGCTGGAACGGGGGGAGTCGTATGCAAATTGAAGGCCACTAAAATTTAACTTGAGGTGGGAAGGGAAGTGGGAGGCCCTCGAAGCAGGAAGGGTTTGTCAAAGACCCTGGCCACAATCCTAGGCTTTTATATTTATAGAAAAGCGACGCATAGCATATTTTTTTTAGTGTTCTTGATTCTTTCCCCAGTGGGCCAAAGCTCATGCTTTCCAGCCCCAAACTCGTCCACGTAGAGGTATTAAGCACCCGTGAGATGGTAGCGCTAAGGGCCTACACGTGGCTTGTGCCCTGAACAAACCCCATTATATAGTCTCCCGAACAGATCGACTTTACTTCTTTTCCTATACTTGCATTTATTTTAGGATTAATACCCTCAGAATACAACGAATAACAACGCATGGTTGGTCGGCCAAATTCGGCCGATCGTCGGCTTTGCATACTAAATAGACTCGCTATAGATATTGGTAAAGGCAATCCCGAAGGGAACCGAATAGCCCCGGTTCTAGCTGGATCATTGAAGTCAAGAATGCAACACAGTGGAGCCATTACATAGTATATTTTTGTAACCGTGTCGCAGTGCCAAGCAGGTCGTTTTCTTTTGTTTCGCCGCTGGCATTGATAAGTCTTAAAGACGGCGAGGGGCAGAAACTAGTTCTAGCATATCATTTTCAAAGTGCTTTCATCTTTGTCTGGCTCAAGAGAAAGGCAGGGACTCTACACCTGGCAGCTGCCCATGTTTGCGTGAAGCAGCGTCTACAACGAAAATCCGCTCTATAGCTAAACCCTAAACCCTAAACCCTAAACCCACAGCCCATTTTAGTCACAAGATGGCCCTTCCTGCTTGCCCAAAACTTCTAAGCAGTTTTTTTCTAAAGTGAATATTGATTTGGGCCTACGCCCTCTCCAGTGAGCCCAACAATCTCTGGACATCCCGCCGTGGGTTAGCACGCTCCCCATCAGCTATCCAGAGAAGCGCCATGCAGATACCATATCAATCGATGAAAAATGCCCATCTGTTTGCAAGCCATCCATTTACTTAGACGTCTTGGATGGTGGGACAGGGGAAGATTTCCTTGCCCTCGTACATTACCTATTTCATGTTGGGGGAAGCACCCTGCACTGCGATAGCCGGGTCACCACTTATTCCGAAAGCATCCCAAGTGTGGCAGTTGTATTTTATACTTTCGGTGGGGAATTCGCCTCGCGAGCCGCAAATGAACGAACTTTGGCGCACCGGAAAATATGCACACGACGGAAGATGATGTAGCGTTGTAGTGAAAAATTGAGAGGATCTAGGTCTTAGGCTTCGCTTTATACACGACATTTTGGCTTCGGAGGTTTATTAATGGGCTACTCGGTAGAAATAAATGACAGTTGCACGGCTGAGCTGCAAGCAGAAAACTGCGAGGTGATATGCAGGCGTTTCCCGGATGCAGTACATGAATAATAGAGGGCAAGATGGCGATTGCCCTACCTTTTTTCAGCGTAAGGGAACGTAAAAACCTCCTAAATGGTCGAATGATGGAAACTACGGGTATTGGGTATGCGTGTACCGGCCCAGAATGAGGGCCAACAAAACATCTCGGCAGGCGGCGCCAGCGGATTCTGCTGGAGAAAGCCTGGCGCACTTACCGCACTTACCGAGTGGTGGACTTCACTGACATAGCATTGGCAGCACCCGTTCATAGTGTAGGAACCCCTATAACTTTACGGAATGGGGAGTCGATCAATTGCAAGAGCCAACCAGAGAATCAGGAAAAAACGAACGCCCATGCAAGGTAGGTGGCGGCCATGCGATAGGGCAGAGAGAGGAACTTGTCTAGAGTTATTCCTGCTGTAACCTTTGTGCCCATCCAAATTGGTCGCAGTTTTCATCTATTGATAGCCCATTTCGATGCGAATTCGACTGCTGTCTGCGGGTAGGTCGACTGCAGCACCTTGACAGGTGCTGCAGTCAGTATGGCCACGCTCAATCCGAGTCTTTGCGGCAATCCTCCGCATATGGCCAACACGACGTCAATCAATTACGATTGACGAAACTATTCTCAAAAACTGCTCAATCGATCAGAAAATTGGCCGTACTACCGTGATTTAGGACCTTTAGTACGAAGCTGATCGCCACGGGCTTCATCCTACGGGGGCTGCGGTTTAATCAGTGATCACAGCGCATGGGGCACTTCCCAGACTCCTCAGATCAGCGTACCGGGAAAACAGTGGCACGTTTCTCAGGACTAATCACCACACTTGCTTCTTTTGAGGGGAGAGGGAGTTGTTTGGAATCCCAAGACTTGTGTGGCTCCAGAGGAAGGAAGGGGCACTACGGGGAGCGACGAAGGAGCGTGGACTCCTGATAGTCCTAGAGGGAACATAGCATAACCGGCGGGAGCCATGCAGTGGCTGACTGTCAAAGGGCGCGCAAGAGGACCAGGCCGTTTCAGTATTGCCGTTTCAGTATTGTTGCTGATAATGCCGTTACAATTGGCCTATTGCCGCATAAATATGCCTTTGCACGAACTATCTATCCAAATTTATCATTGGAAGGACGGAGAGCCCAACACAGAAACCGCCACGATTAAGTTAATGAGGGCTAGGGGGATAATGGAGGAAGGAGTAGAAGAGAATGCAACTGAATTTGTGCCTCTGGTTGGCCCTATCAAGAATGTTCCCAGGGGCAAGCGGCAAACTGGTAGGCAAGCCCTTTATGCTTCGGTTGCCACAGGAGGAGTATTACAATTCACGGCTCAACCGGCGACTTATAACCAATTTGGGTGTAAAAAGAGCAGGCGTAATATTCAGGATAAGTTAACGATACGGGAAGCCGATGCTTTTTGGTTGGTCATTTGTCTATTTCTATTCACACGTTGTCACAGTGCTACGACCGAACTGTTCCTAGTTGCTAGCCTCAACCCGGATTTCTCATGCCACTAGCGCCTCCAACTTTAAAATCAATAAGTGGTTTTTGTTATAAATAAAAAAAAACTGAATGTAGAAATCGTCTTTGTTGTTTCACTGACTAGCGGTTGGTCCACTTTGCATCATGCGCAGTAGTGCATGTGTTGTTTTTCCACCTCTGCCGTGGTGTGCCTAATGCGACTCGTTTTTTCCAATATATGCACTGTCGTCAACTTTGAGAACGACAGAGAACGCGGAGTGTAACTGTGGGTATATGATCGTAATGAGATGCCGCAACCTTACAGTGGTTTGGAAGCCACGAATGCACACGCACATCTCCTCCCAGCGTCTGTCTGTGGATCTCATTGTTCCACAAAGCATTATGCAACAAATAAACACAACATGTAAACCGACTTGGTTGAGAGCATATTACTACCACCAGGACATGCTGCTTCTGTTTTCTTACCTGCTTGCCTCCGGGTGGTACATGCACTCTCTCGTTCTGCAACCCGGCTGCTGAGGTCGGTAACGGTCTCCTTGATAAGCCGCAGAAAATAATGCATCACAATAGCATGTCTTCTATGCAAAAGTTGTGTGTAGCAAAGGCATGGCTGTCTAAACTTATCTACTTGAAAGTGCGAGGAGGACGCCACCTGAATTTCTTCAATTCAGAGGCTACTTCCACTCAACCGGAGCATCGCAGATTTCCCCGGTTACAAAACCAATAGCTGTCTACATCTCATTTATGGAGTAAACGCATGTCCATTTACTAGTAGTTTATGCATTTGGATGGGACGGATGGGTCCACTTGCTTGGTTCCACTTCCACTTCCTGATTTTCCTCTATCCCGTCCCGCTTCGCAGGTAGTCTCCTTCCGCAGAAAGTTTCCGTAACTCCCCAATAAGTATTCCTTCGCATATTTTATGTGCGTTTTTAACCTTTTGGAGTAGCACAGGAGGTGGTGGTGAACAATCCCGCATTAGCACGTAGGAAATGCCCCTTACCAAAATCAGCCAGAATGCATGGCACGTTCTCGATGAACATGGCCCTTTCCTTCGTTTCCGCACTGCGAGGGATTACCTGACAAGCCAAGAAGCTGCTGGTACGCCAGTTTCTCTCCCGCTTGGACATTGTTCCCCATCGACAGCTGTAGCGGTAGACGACTGTCATCGCTGCGACGCTTGCCTCCGCTTCAGGGCACCAAGTCCTGCCCATTTCTCGGAGGATTACCTTCCAAAAATACAATATGCTGAAGTGGGGGGAAGCCTCTATGGATGCCAGTCAGTAAAAGCTAGGCTTGGAGGGCTGCCTGCCGTTGCTGCACCCAGTGCATGGGAATCCTTTCGCAGCGATAGCTGCACTAGCTTGCCCTGCTCTCCTCTTCTATGTAGTTCAGGGAAAGTTAACTCATCGATATGGGTGACACCCATGATGCCGACCGGTGACGAGTCAGAGTCCCCGCAAACAGTGTTGAACGAGACCTCCAGTGCACTCGAAGACACCAGGGGCCGCGCGGGGGAAACAACTCAGTCCAGTCCAGACAATGATGGCTTTTGCCTTTCAAACGTATCTGCTTCGATCGACAAATTGATTAACGATTCTGTGCAGAGACTCTACAAATATGCACCTCTCTCCCCAGAACGTACGCAGAGACCGATTCCCCAACAACCGCTTTAAACCGGATGAGGCCCAGCTAGCCAGCGGAGCGGGCAACATACTCCTTCCTTTAACCATGTAAGGCCGGTGTTCCGTTGCCTTTGTGTCCTCGCAGACCAATCCCCCATCTATAATCTAGAGCATGCAACATATCCCAGGAATTTCCAGCAAGGTCCTTCGAAAACAACATCAGAAGGGTGGGCCGCAGCAGCTACTGCAGCTGCTTTTGCAGCTGCCTCGATAAGCCGCCTCGAGAATACACAGGTTGGACCGCCTGTCATGGACATGCAAACTGAATTGTGTACTGGCGTTAAACTGGATCCAGGAGAAATATACGCCTTCCTGCGAGCTAAATCAAAAACCGAAGAGGTGGCTGCGCGCATTAGAGAGAAAGTCACAGCAGCACGAGAAGCTCGACGGGCGTTGCCGCAGCCACGTCTCTCAAACGTAAAATCTGCTGCAAGAGCTCCCGTCGCAACAGCTTTGCTTAGAACTAACCAGCAGCATATTTACAGGCATTCCCGCTCCCCACAAAAAAGTGAGCTTGCACCTCAGCAAAAACCTAGGGGGGCCCATCAAACAACTAAGGCCACCTCAAGCTCAATTAGCAAAGAAAAAGCTACTAAGCTGCTACCTAACAGAAGAGGAAGCCATTCGCTGAGGCAGAGGACAGCAGAAGGGGCGTCAGCAGAGCCGATACCCACTGAGGACTTCATTGCAGTAGGAATGAGGATGCACCCACGGGGGCCGGCACAAGGGCCGAAGACACTGTGCACGCCAGCCAGAACTGTGACAGAGAACAGTCTCAAAAATGTTTCTGGACACCTTTCCCGTACCATTGCCGCAGGCAGTTGTAAAGCGCGGCTTGCTAGCGCCGCGTTTCATAGGCCCGCGGAAAAACCTGGCTTGCCGGTATCAGTTGCCGCTTCTGTGGAAAGGTCTGTAGTGAGCAACAACTCTGCGCTAACGCGAACGCCATCCGTCTCCGAAGTGACACCTTACGAGAAACCGCTAACGCAAGCGGTCACTCGAAATGGAGACTCGATGAGTCCTGCGAAAACACGAGATCCTTTGCATGTACCTCTTGCGCAAACTAATATGCCTGAGAACGCAAAACGTTTGAAGGCCTACACTGCTTTTGCCCCAATTTCTCCCATTTCAGAGGTTCCACTAGCAAAGGAGGCGGCAGCAGCAGAAGAGAGATCATCAGGAATATCAGCAGCTGCAACCCCAACGGCATCTACGACTACAGCAGAATTAGCAGTGGCAGTTAAAGAGGAGCCACCTCAAGTGGAAGCAAGGCTAGGTGAAAACCAGCGAGTGGGTCATCCAGCCACTCATAAAACTGACCAGCATTGCTCATTGGGACCAGTTAAGAAGGTCTGCGCCGCAGTTTCCAGGGAAATGCGACTCAAGACAACTACAAGCAAGCCGTCTTTGGCCAATTCGCAATCTGCGGCTCTCAGGCATCTCGCCCGAGTCATATGCAAAGTGAGGTTCTTACTGATGCTCCGACTACAAAAAATAGTCCTGCCGCTTTCTCTTATCGAAAGCGCCTTTTCCTTGGTCCTCCTTCATGGTGAGTTGTTTGCCGGCAGTACTTGAAAGCGAATGCTCTCCTTATTTTCTTACCACGACAACGTTTCTGTGCTTAGGCCATCTCCAGTGCTGCTGCACGGGAACTGCGCAATAACGCTTTCGGGTTTCTCCGACGCTGCTATAGCCCAAGATATCACGACTCATCTTCTGCACCACGATGCGCAACGGCTGCGAAGGTGCGAAGGCCGCACCCTTCAAAGATCTCGGAAACTCGTGAATCTGCCCCTGAAGCGACATCACACGACTACCGGGCGAACGACCGTGATATGTATGTCTGCCCCTTCGCTTATGAAAGCTGTGGGCTCTTGGATAAAGTACAACAGTGTTGCGCCGCAGCGTGTTACAAAAGCAGCTGCTTCGCCGGAGCTCTAAACAGGCACAAGGGTCGCATCTGCGAATCGGATTCCAACCCTAGGGCACTTCATTCCAATGAGATTGGCGCAGGTCCCACTTCCGTCGCTTCTAACACTGGAGTGAGATCTACCCTTGCTACTATCTCAACATCGTGTGACTTTGAGCATCAAGTAATTTGCGAACTCCCTCAAAGTCCACATGAACTGCAAAGGAAAGAAGTAATTCCGGCTGTTGCTGCTACTGCCGATTTTCAGCCGGTCCCAACCTGCCCCAATCTCGCTAGGCCCCTGCATTGGGAAAACGCCAGCGTTATATTTGCCGCATCAGATATGGCACTAACTGCAGCAAGCACTGTTGCAATGGACGCTGCAGCATTTCAGGCAGAGAAAGCGAAGAATCAGCAACGGCGGGAAGGCCTCCTTGGGCCTTTATTGGAAATATCAGACGATAGGCATCAGGAGTCGCCGTGCAAGCCGACGAATATAATGAATCAAGCGGATCTTCGTCTGTCCCGCGTTTCCTCACGGGGACAAGAAGTGGAGCCACCGCGTAAGTGCGAAGCCGGAGAGCCCTATTGCACCAGTGGGACGTGCGGAAGGGTCCAGCCAGAACTACGCCAACATAAGCGGTGCGAACCCGAATGTCCGAGACAAGAGGAAAGACCTATCCAGGAGACTCACTGTGCAGGGCATCCGCAGGAATTGGAGCACGGGGGGCAACAGAATAAACTACGGGATCTGTCTGAGACGCTGGTTCACCGGTGCATGACAAGTTGCTCGTGCCCACCCATGTGGCACTGCACGGCAAATATCCGGCTTGAGCTTGGAGGCAGCGGCATCGACGGCCACAAGTGCTACCACGAACTAATCATTCCAGTCAACCATCATCTATCAAGGCAAACACTTGCCTCACCACCAACAACATTCCCTCGGCATAGTCTGCGAGGGGCTTGGGACTGCATGTTCATCCCGGCCCCCGCAGTTTCATCGCACAAGTTTTCTGCTCCTTCCAGGCTTTTGCAACAACCTGTTTGCCAGAAGCTAGCCTCAGCATGCCCATCAGGGGGTGCCAGCTTAGCCCTACCTGAATTATTGGATTTCAATGAGTCAGCAAGACAACGCCATACTGTAGTTTCAATAGCAACAACATCGATAAGCGAAAGCCCAACGACACTGAACCAGAGACGCAATGCAATGAACGACGGTTATGGCAAGTTCGCGCCGTCTGCTAAGGCTTCCCCACAGGCCGTTGTGTCTACCCAATCGGTGGATGCTGCTCAAAGCACCAGTGAGGGACAACAAAACCCAATGGGATGGGCAGACGGCGCCCGCCCCATGAGGGAGCACCTGAGTGAGCTGCAGCAGCTGAGACACCAACTAGACTCCCACAGACAATCGTTGACCGGCCTGTTCAGGCAGGTGGACTTCAGCAGGAGCAAAGGCAAATCATGCAACAATCCACCTCTGCATTCTCTCAATGAAGAGAGCTCAGTAGAGTTGAAACATGATCGAGCCACCAGGCAGCAGAAGCTGAACTACGGAGAATCATTGCCTGAAGTGCCGAAGACGGGCAGCATTTCCTTGGGTGGGAGGCCAAAAGAACAACAGAATTATGAGGTGCATGAACGCAAGCTGAAAGCAGCGGTATATCAAGATACTGCAGGCTTGAGTGGTTGCCCACTGCTGCATACCAGTGATCGTACGGCGTCTCCACCGCAGCAGGCTGCTGATTTTTCGCCTCCAGAAACGAAGGCACAGCTCCTTCATCATCAGCCTGGACAACCCTCTAGCGCTCTTCGTCAGGTTCTCTGGGGACTTTTAGATCGGATGGAATATGTTAAGATGAAGTTGGCTCCTCCTCAGCGTTTGCAGACCCCCCATGTTCTTAGGAAAAACAGTCAGCACCGTCCACAGGATAGAGAAGGATTGTCCAATTTGCCAAAGGAGCCCAGAATATTGAAAAGCGTGATTCGTCATCGTACGAATAGCCTACAGCCTGCTACATGCCAAGAAAAGCGGGACCAGTTTCATGGCCAAGGCCTTACTCAATTGCGTATTGTGGGAAAATCTATGGGGAATGCGGCTACATGCAGCGCAGCCAGTTACATGTTCAAACGTGCAGCAGAGATTCCGCAAGACGTCCTTCCATTTGCTGCACTACCGGAGATTCGAACCGGCTCAATTGAGTGCAGACAGCCAAATAAAGTGACTGCACTGGATACGAAGCACCGCGAGGACTTCGCAAAGACGCTGCTGGTTGTAGACAAGTCACTCCTTTCCAAAGCGTACCACGCCACTACGAAAAAAAACCGCCTCGAATGCCGAGCTGCCAAACCACGCCTGCTACTACAAAGCAAAAAGTCTGCAGGCACTGCGGAAGAAGAATGCCGACCAAAAACAATGGAGGAGGGCCGAATTCCAGAAGATATCGGTGAACAGGGTGGTGCGAACCAAACATGAAACATGTATTGGACTCTTAGGAACACGATTGCCCAGCAAACGCTCGAACTTTCAGGAGTGCTTCTCTGAGTGCTGCAGTAGTTTTACGCGTCACGGGAGCCGGGAGGCCGAAAAGGAATGCACAGCTACCAACCAGCCACCAGCATCCTCAGAGACATCAGTAGTCGGATCTGTGCTAGTAAAGGGAAAATGTGATTCGGCTGTAGAATGTTCAACTGCCTTAGATGGTGACTTTCAGTCACGCGTGGGTGGACAGAATCAGAGCCACTTAAGACGAGAAGTTCGTGGAGTAACAAAAATCCTTGCTGGGCAGACGCGTGGCCGCCATTTCAATTTGTCCGGCCTAAAGTTCGCTGACTCTACTCAAGTGACGCAGGAAGCACTATCGACAAATTTTCCAGTGGAGCGGCCTACGATGAGCGCTGAATTTGATGCAAACCTCACGGGTGCAGGCGAGGAGGGCTGTTTAGTCGAAGCAGTGAGACCAACAAGTTTCAGCTTCACGGCTGATCCAGGGGAGTTGCGGGAAAAGAGATGCGGTGGACTATCCTGGGCATAGGCGCAATCAGCCCTATAGGAACATGGCACAGTCATAAAGGCCATTCTTTGCGGAAAAGCACAGTCCACTTGGTCGAGACTCAACGCGCACCTAAGGAAGAGAATAAATTTGCAACGGGAAGGAGCAACGGCTGGCCGTGTTTGGGTTCCTGTATCGGCTAGATTCCTCTGCCAGAAAGACCCAAAAGCGTGTTCTCCAGAAGGAGATTCCCGGATATGGCTCAGGCGGGTGTCGGGGAGACGAGGAGGCATCTTTACTCGGAGCAAAAAGTGAGCAGCCACATAGGTGAAACGTTACAGGATAGAGAAAATATACCTACGGGCGAAGTCTATGGGAAATTTTATGCCTTCTTTACAGCTGTGGGTGCGTTCCCCACGGCCCGCAGTTCAGTAACACTCATAATGAAACCCCTAGGCGTGCAGCCAAGAGCTGGGCCAGTCTAGTGTCCCAAATATGCCTACCCTGAACCTGTGAGACGTTTCGCTGCTCACGAGCAGGTGGCCACATCAGCAACTCCCCTACTCCACGCTGCAGCAGCAGTACGAATCATATGTAGAGGACCATTTGCATTCTCATCGAAAACCTTAAGCACTGCCTTGAGCACTTCAAGATGCAAAATTATATCGGGCCGAGTGTATTGCATATTGAGCTTAAGAAGCCCAAAAGTACAAAGCTTTTCCTAAGTAGCTTGATTGAAACCCTAGTGGCTTCCTACGCACCTGTGGGCATCCTCTCAGCAACGGTACAAATAAGAATTTGGTGACAGGGAAAAGCTTGAATGAAGAACGGGAGGCACGCCGTCGGGTCCACACTAACCCCCTCGTCAAGCAGGAGAGGCCAAGGTCAAAGTCAAAGCAACGACTGACATTGAAAAGGCACAGCTTGGCAGCTTCTTACGTTGTCTCTATCGCACAACCACTCTGTTCCAGGAGAGCAGCGGCACTAAAGGCTAGCTGTCTTTTATTCTGGAGCTGTGAATCTCACGTTCAGAAAGACCTTCTGAAGAAACGGTGATGAATGGCACAATCCAAAAAATAAGTGGTTGCCACGCTGGATAGATAGTGCCCGTTCGCCGGTGCACCTTGTTGCAGGGCAGCAGCTCTCCGGAAAGCTGCTGTAGACGCAGCGGTTGAAATAGGAAGGTTACGGCAACGCAAACAGCTCTACAACGCGTTGGTCAACTACGTGCCTTTGGTGCACCCGACAAACTTTCCTTTGCCTGCGTCGATTGAACGAAGGTCCACCACTTCATCAGCAGAAAGTAGGTTGGCCACACTCCGAGAATGCGGTGCCCTAGTTTTCACAGCGTGGCAGATATACGTGCAGGCCACGCCTGTCTGTATTCCCTGTGCTAGTATGCTTCACTCGATGATCTTCAAAATAAACAGAAAATTCTGACTTACAAATTATGGTTTCGATGAGAACTCTTTAGGGTCAATCCAGTTTATGCATTCGGGATCGTCATGCAGCTGAAGGTACAGAGGAACAGCACCGAAGGGTAAGGGGGGAGCTTCAAACTTCCTCCCTCCGAAGTAGAAGTGCAAACGTTTAGGTGCTTTCCCGTGTTTCCTCGCCGCAAGTTTTTCTGTTTGTACTCTGTAGGAGTCGCATTGGCTTTGGATATGCTTACGCCCTTAGTATGAGCAGCTTGCTTTCCAGACTAGCAGTACATGCATTATTCTTAAAAATTCAGTGACCAGCATAGCAAGGCCTGATGTGTGGCAGATCGTCCCCGTTTTTACTCCCCCCAATTCCGTAGTACTTACAAGGTGCATACAGAATCTATACACGAACCGAATGGTGCTGCCAACCTGTCTCTGGGCTTCTCTGGTGCGATTTGGCACACTTTAGGCAGCAAATACATTGCTGAGAGGAACCGTTTGGCATCACTTTCTGGCTGGGCTTCAGCTGGTGATGCATCAGCTAGCCGACAGAGAAAATGGAGACCTTGACGGCGACCAACAAGAAAGGTTCCAGCTAGTCAAACAGCATCTGTGGGCGCGAGCGCTCAAGCACATCAAGGAGTTTGAATGTGCCGAGCACTTGAGGCGAAAAAACCCTACAAAATGTTTGCAGAATCTTCCTAGGTAACTACAGACTGCAGTTATACACCGTTTTAAACTGTAGTTCCGTATGCGTGTTGAGTTGTGGCTCCGTACGCAAGTTACGCTAGGTAGTAGCTTTCGACTGACTCTGCTTATAAATCTTTAACTAGCTCCTGCACTTGGCGATGTAAGCCGTTGGCTGCGGAGAAGAAACAGCTGAAAATGGTTTGTTGCATACTTCAGAAGCATCCTGTCTCACGAATCTGGCGTTTTTTCCAAGTGCAAACTGATCTTAAAAGAGACAGTGATGGGGAGGAAGCATCCCATGAAATTTAAGCCGCTGCGCATCATCTAGAACCCCCAAAGCAGTAGCTTTCGCACACTTGGAGATTGAATGTATGAGCATAATAAGCATAGACCCCGCAAAGTCAAATGATTGCCAAAAAAAAAGTATTGTCTGTTAGAAAGCAGTTCAAATATCCATGTTCTAACCCCTTGCTGGCATGCAGATCTGGTAACCCCTAGCTTCAGTCCTCACTTAGCCACATACCACTGCCGTAGTGGGCCTTTTGTTGTAACCATGCACTATCAAGTGCAAATTCGTTTAAATACTCCAAGCATCTAGATGCTCAAATAAAAAATCATCCGGTGTCCAGTAAGGTTTTGGCTAGCAGCTGTTGCTCCTACGCTGGCCATATGCATGCTGGAGATAATGAATAGGCATACTCCTAGTGCCAGACGCAAGCAGTACTTATACTTTTGGTGAGGGGCGAAGCGGTAGCCTTCCGCGGGAGATGGTAACTCTGAAAGATTGAGGATTTCCTAAAAGGTGCAGCTACTCAATCACAGTGTCATGCCCTGCAGACAGATTCGCCATAATGTGTCGGTTTATTTGGCTGCAGACTACGAGGTGCTTGAAGCGGACGAGGGTAAACTAAACATAGAATACTACCTACGAACAGTACTAGACGGAACAAGGGGAGCTTAGCAGTAGCGTGACTTTTGTATGCTCCAGGGTTATAAAGGACCAGAGCCAAAGGGCGCCCACACAAATGCTCGTGGTAGTCATCCTGTCAGTTGCGTCCTCTGGGCGGCGCCGAATTTGATTGGCTTTAAGATCTTAGAAGACGGTGAAAAAGCAAAAAGCAGGCATTTACGACTCATAAACATGCTCTGAGAGTGCCTAAGGGAGCGGCATGCCCCAGTAGGGGCCATGAGAGTAATCGTTGGCCTCGCCGCTATGTCGAGGCTATGTATCCGCCCGCAAATAGTAGCGCCGCTCGGGTGCTAGAACTACAGAAGCAGAGAAGCTCGTTGCTTTTTGAGCAATGACAGCTTTAGACTAAGGATGCCTTGGGGATTCAAATCGGTAAGTGTATTCGCGCGCCTGGCCGTGCTCGCCCTGTAGCCATAGAATATACGCAGGCGCGGGGCAACCACCATTGCTGCTGTAGGATTTTGCTCGGTATGGAAGGTATTCGCTTGTGTTTAGCGCTCTTAAACAGATGAAACTCTGTTAAACCAGACTAGCACATAGAACGTTCGGGGTGGGTCGGCTTACTGGCGGAATAAGCGTGTTTCTACTACAAAGCGATGCTGTATGAAATGCCAAAGAACACATTCGGTCATAGTAGCCCCTACGCTGGCAAGGGACCCTCGCATCAAGAGGATTCTGGACATATACAGTTTGGGCGAAACCGGGGAATTGCTTCGGCTGCCCGTCGGCTTGCCGCTTAGCAAGAGCGCGTCCATAACCGGAGCCTGACAGTCTGGTGAAATTGCAGGGTCCGCATAGCCTTACGGAGGTTTGGGGCAGTGCAGGTTGAAGCAAGCAGCGTGCTGAGCTATTGAACTTGCTCCTTGCTACATCTTCAACCGGATGGAATACAAATCTTCAGGCGCAGTCTCGCCCATAGTCCCGACCTTTATCCTTCCGGCAACAATATGCACGTGCATACTCTGTGGCATAACGCTGTCGAGAAGGATACTCATTAAAGCGGCATATTTGTTAATCCGAGGTGTTTCCCTACGACATCACTAGTGTAAAATAAGGAAACATATGCTATTTTGTGGCAAATTTGAATTACAGTGAGTATGGCTTCGTGGACTGCAACTGTTCTCCAGTTAAGCTTCAACATGCCGCTGTAGGATTCCGTTAATGCGGATGTGTGGCGGTGGTGTGGCATACAAAATGTAGGGAATGTGCTGCTACAGGTGGGCGAGACATAGCGCAGTTATTCCGCAAGGGCTGCGTTGGAGTACAAAACAACCTAGGCTGTGCATTCATTGTTCCCAATGATTGCACCTAAAAAAAGGCTGCCCCGAACAACAAGGGGCATCCGGATAGACTGCAAGAACATAGCAACGCTACGCATTCAAGGATTAGTGTCTTTTGGGGGGAATGACGGGAAACAGAACAGCACGACGCTGATGCAGGCTTCACCGCGTTAAATGTCACGCTTTTTCGGAATCAGATGTGTGAAGCATTGTGCTGACCAGTTTGCCACCTAGCAGTGTATGCGCTAGTTTCGGCAAAAATAGGAACAAGACCCCCGCAAAATTGGATGGCAGTCATAATGAAGCCATATTTGCGTGACTTTACAGGGGAGTCTCGAGTCGAACACGGGGCTGCATTCTCCTAGTCACCAAGCTGACCACAGAACCATTCTACTCATAATCACACGAATCTTCAGCCGAAAGCACGAGCTGAGATACAGAGCACTGAGAGAGGTTACTACAGCCTTTAGTGCTAATCACTCCTCTGCAGCTGACTGGCTGCATGCTCCCTAGAGGCGCAATATATCAGGTAGATCTCGCCTTACATGAGTGTTCATTAACTATATACGACGAGGCTCTAACGTAACCTTCGGAGGAAAGCTGAATTAAACTTTACTAGTGCAACTATTTTGAATTTTGTTGTGCCGAACTTCCCGGTGCAAGATACGATAATACAAGCAACGGGATGTTCGCGCTTACAACCACACTTCATACAAAGCTCCTCACTGGTTGGCTGTAGTTGAGTAATGCAGCAAGGTGTCTAGGATCTCGGATGAGTGCTGCGTCCATGTGCTATGCTGCTTTAGGTGAACTGAATGGTATCTTGCGTCTGTCTTGACAGACACAAGCCATGGACTTTCCTGCACGCGCCAGGACATATCTACTCAACGACTGCTCCTTCGCCGCATTGGTGGTTTCTTGGTCACAGAGACAGTTGGGGGAGTTTTGGAAAGGAGAAGGGGAGCAAGAGTTGGCAGAGCCAGGTTAGGAAGTATGCATGTTCGGTGACGGTCAGGGAATGCGAATTGTGCTGACACTTGCTGCTGCGTCTGGCCAGGGCGAAGCCTCCAC